TTCATCCTTCCAGCACATCCCCACTCCTGGACCGTGGGGTTCCAACAGCACAGAACTATTCCCCACTCACTGCACACCCATCAGATCAGCAGAATCTGCCCCTCCCTGGAGCTCAACAGGGCAAAAGCTGTGACAAAGTCACAGGCACTAGAGAAACACTGAGCTGAGACTGGGGAACAGCAAAAAAGCCAACTAACAGGTAGGGGAGAATGTTTGCTGTATTTCAGAGCAAATAAGTACTCAGGCAGCCCCTCAGCAAAGTCACAAAGGAGTTCTGCTTTAGGCCAAGATGAAAGTCTCAAAGAATAAGCTCAAAAACCATAGGGACTTGTGAAACCCATACTCGGTTTGTTAAATTAATCACAAAGCTTTTTATCACATATTTCTGCCTCTGAGTCACTTTACACTTCAGTTCAGGTGCCAAATCCTTTGTCTTTTCCATAACTGTGAACTCTTGTAATACACACAGTTTTGAAATCTGTTTCAAAAGCAAAGCTTTTGGGTTTGTTCTGGAAGTCTGGTGTTACCAAGAGTAGGTCCCCATTTCTAAGCAGAACTGCAAAGGCCCCACTGCACCAGAAGCCAGTGCCCACCCCTATGGGAGGAAACAAAACAACCATACAAAAGTCAGGTGCTCCTTATAAATTTTTGTGGGCATTTGGCTTCAGTAACTGAATTTAGTTTGTGCTTTTCCTGTAAGTGAAGAATAACTGTTTTCCAATGGAGTTAGCAGGAGGTAAAGCTGAAAATCAAAGTGTGAGCTTTGTGTTTCCTGACAATTTTCCTTTAACAAGGTAGCTCCAGCTGCTAACTGCATTTTATTGCATTCCTCAAAGACAGATCTCTGTACAAGAATACTTTAAGAGCTCTACTCCAAAAATAAGGGTACTTGTATTAGGTTTTATGGTTACATTTATTTTACCAGTTGGTCTCAGAGCCCTTAGTGGTGCCTTACCCGTAGCCTCACTAAGACATGGCACAGGCTGGAGCCCCTTGATGCCATGATGAATTTTTGCCTTTTATATATCTTTTACAGATCTTCTCTATACCTTTTATGTATTCTCAGTGCTCTTAGAATACATATAATACTTGTAATTCCTTAAGTCTGATAACTTAACATAGTCCTGGTATTCTGCTAAGCCAGAAAACCAAACATCCTAAAGGCCTTGTAGGTGAAAGCTGGAAAGTCCTATGCTATCTTGAAAAACCAAGGTCCTATCTAAAATACATCCTATAAAATAAGATTAAACCCATCCAAGAGGGAATACTTTGAGATGAGAAAATGTCACGCTGTTCATTCAAGCCTCTCATCAAAGAATCTTTATTAGATATACTAATTTGCAAAATCTATAAAACTGTATACACAATCTCTCAGGTGTACATTTCAGCATACTCCACCTTGATGAAGTGTTGCACCATAGGATCCTTATTAAACACCAAGATAAAAACCCTTTATCCCTTAACTGTGTCTGGCTCTTAATTTGAGGACCAAGGAAAAGGCATCACCCTGACCCTGTATTTGGCTCCCCAGGCAGCTGCAGCAGCTGCTGCTCTCACTCACCTCCCTCCTGTCCCAGTACTCAGGAAGGGAAATGTGACTTCCAGAGATATCCCTGTGCTGTGAGCAGGGGTCTGACTCAGCCCTTCATCTGTCAGGCAAGGAGGAGCAGGAGCAGCCTTTCCACCTGCCTGTGGTGGAACACTGTGTGACACTGAAAGGCTGAATGCCCACCCTGGCTCTGCTCATGGGGGAGCCCTGGAACCCCCAGTGACTCCTGGGCAAACACCAGCTGAAGGGAGGTCTGCACACACGAGGAACCCTGTCCTCCTTAGCTATGGGGTCTCTGGCAGCCATCCTGGCAGAAGATCAGATCTGCAATGGAACAAGCCCCCAGCTGAGCCCAGTTAGAGTGCTCTGATGCAGAGACTCACACCCCACAGAACGCTGCAGACAAATGCAGCTGATGACATGGCCCAGGAACAGCACAGAGTAATTAATCACACCAAAACTTCAATGAGCACCTCCTCCACCCCATTTCAGTCAGTCAGAGTCAGGGCATGGCCACTTTCAATGCAGAAAGCTCCCTCAGCACTTTTAGCAGGGCTGTTGTTAGCACAGACAGACATCAGGGGCCAAACATCTGGAAGCAGCAAAGGGCCACCACTGAACTGTGCTGAACATCTCCCAGGACTTAAATCCATTTCTTCATTGGGCAGCTGTCCTGAAGAGAGGCTGGCAGAAGAGGGATGTTGAAGGGTTGTACAGCATGCACTCATGCAAAAACTATTCTGCATCCAAGCTCACCATGCCATGCTGGTTTGTGAGATGACACCCCTGATTCACCCTGAGCCATCAGCCATGCTCCAAACCCTGTGTAGGGAGCACAAGGCTGCACAGCCACGAGAGCCAGGAGCAGAAGCCACCTCACCTCCTCCCTGGCCAGGGCACCCAGTGCCAGGAGCAGGCTTTCTTTGCAGGTGGTTTTCTTTGCAATTACAACTGTGTGTGAAGAATTGCAGCTACAACTCGTGATCCCCTGTCACCGTCATATTTTCTGGACCAATCCCTTGCCCAGGATTCTTCTCCTGGGAAGCTGAGAAGTCTCAGAGAAAAAGGAAAACAATATTATCTCATTTGCTTCTCCTGTGTTGTGCTGCTTTGGAATGTGGTTGGAGATTGTTTATCCAGCAGGCGATTGTTTCATTGGTTTCATGTGAATTGTTTTTGACTTATTGGCCAATTACAGCCAAGCTGTGTCGGGGCTCTGGAAAGAGTCAAAAGTTTTCTTTAGTATTTTTTAGCCTTCTGTCTGTATCCTTTCTGTATTCTTTAGTACAGTTTTAGTATAGCATTCTTTAATATAATATAGATCATAAAATAATAAATTAGCCTTCTAAGAACATGGAGTCAGATTTATCATTTCCTTCCTGCCACGGGGCACCTCACAAATACAAGAATCCCCTATCCCTGATGGGAGCACTGGCAGCCCCAGCCCTGAGCCAGCCCTTTCCCACCCTTGGCACTCCCCAGCACCCCAATCTGTTCCCCCTGTGTTCATGGGACATGCAGTGCCCTCAGGAGGCCACGGGGACGCCCTGGGTTGGGGACACAGAAATGTGAGCACAAGCACCACACCCACAGCGTGTCCCATGCAATTCTTTATTGGCTTTCTCTAAGAAGCTGCAGCTCCTTCACAAACACAGAGCTGAGAGACAAACACCCACTGCTTCCTGGGAATGTTCAGAGGATCAATGCCAAGGCCAACAAAAGGTGTCCCTGAACTGTCAGCAGTAGCTGCCAGAGAGTGAAATTTTAAGACTGATTTCAGTGGAAACAGAGCAGTGTACTGCTCACCCTTGAAAGCTGCCCGTGTTTGTGTCAGAACTTGGGCATCTGTGCCCCTCCATAATGACATCTTCACGCCAGATTTGCTTCCTTCCTCCTCCATGCCCAGCTGGGATGATTGCAAACACACTGTGAGGTGAGCACTGTTTGTAAACCCCGATCTGACATGTTTTCTTTATTTGCAAGGAGAGAGCCCAAATATCTTTCATGGCACCAGCCTGAAGGACTCTATTACACTCACACATCTGCAGCACCTCATGTAAATAAGAATCAACATTTTTACCATGACACAAAACAGGCTAGGCAGAAGAGGGAAAGGACAAGTTCCCCAGCTGGAGGTGACTCCCTTCTATCCTCACAGCTTTTTGGGCTCAGCCTCTTCCTCACAGACCAAGGCCATTTCCACTTGAAAATGGTACAGTTCAAGCACTTCATGCTGAGGCTAACTCGTTCAGCTTCCATTCAGCTTCCTCATCCCCTCTGCAGCATGACAGAATGTGCCAGAGGCTGGTCAGTGCCAGTCCCTGCTGCCCTGTCAGGAGCCAGGCGAGCAGCTCACCTCATGATGGTTCTCCACAAACAGTGAGACCTTCAGGAGTGTATCTGAGACAGAGAGAAAACAACAACCCTGTCAGCTGAATGTGCTTTACCTGTATTCTGTACTCCCAAAAACTTGTTCCTAAAGGCAATAAAAAAGTATGGGTAAAACTAACTGAGCAGTGAAATAGTTCACTGAGCCCTTGCCACACTGTGAGGGAGGATGCTGCTTCCAGCTGTGCCCAGGCGTGAGGATGAGTACTTTCAGCTGAAGCTGATCAAGATCTCACAGCAGGTCACAAAGATCTCAGAGCAGGTCACCCACTGCTGCTGTGACCAGCGGAGCCAGCACGGCCAGGGGACATCAGCAGGAGCCCTGGAAAACACCCCTCGGCTCTTCACACACAGAACTACCTTGAACAACATCATCTTCCTTGTAACGCTCCAAAATCCTCTCCCAGGACTGCGGCAGGGCTTCCACGTCTGCCAGGCTGTCCAGGCTGAGGCGCTGCAGGAGCAGTTTGCTCTCCAAGTACCTTCGCACCTGGTTAAGGACAACAAGGACAGAACAGCCCCCCCAGCACTGCCCTGACACCCCCAGCCCTGCCCAGAGACCCCCAGCAGGATACAGGTGCCGGTAGTAGCGTTCCACGTCCTGCAGCCCCTCCAGCACGTCGGCCAGCGAGGGGCAGCGCGGCCCACGCCGCAGAAGCAGGGCCAGCCCCAGCTCGGCCGGGCCCGGTTCCTCCAGGAGCCGCAGCACAGCGCTGCCGGCGGCCCCCACGGCGTCCCGCACGGCCCGCAGCTCCTCCCTGCCGGCACAGCGAGGTCAGCCGGGCCCTCGCCCCCCGCCC